CATAATTTTAATTTTAAAACCCAAATCATTTTTAAAACCCATTTGCCCATTTTAATTTGAAGCAAATGAATATATTTTATGTAATTTTGCTGTAATATTAATATCTACTTTTTGGTATTTGTATACACTGAATTAATCGTATTGGACGGCTAGTTATTTATACATTTTTGAATTGGGCTACGTTAATTTGTAAAAGTTACGAATGAAATGTCATTAGTTGTATTTATGTAGTGTTGCTGAAAATATTAAAAATTTTGATTATAGTACGGAACCGAACCGACCCGAACCGAACGGAACCGAATGGAACCGAAGCCGAACGGTTCCACAATTATATTTGGACCTGACGAGTCCATTTATTAAATACCCGAAAGTTTTGGGTCGGTTCGGGTCTCTTCAGAACCGAACCGAACCGACCCACGGACAGCCCTACTGGGATCCTCTCTCTCCACTGCCCACCCAAAGTCTATTCTCCTTATCAAATTTAGCTTCTTCTCAACATAATCCACATCACTGCTACAAATACATTTTGACAACTATGCAATACTTATATATATACATATTTAAATGTGTAAATATATATTGAGAGTACATACGAAGGAAAGCGTTCGGCGCCGTTTTCTTCAATAGCATCTAGGCGTTTGATTGGGAGCGTGTCAATCGATATCTTAAGATTTCCATCCATTGTTCGTCTTAAAATTTCTGGGGGAATGTGAATTGGAGCCTCCTGCGGCTACCGGCGTTGGAAGGAGATGTTGGGGTGGCCGGTCAGGGAATAGACCGGTGATATGGACGGAGAAGACGGGATTTAGGCTGAATTTGGGTTTGGGCTGGAAATGGGTTTTAATTGGGCTGGTCTAGAAATGGATTTTAAAGTTGGGAAAAATTCATTTATCCTACTTTATCTTTACCCTATTTCAAAAATAACAAAACAACTTTCACATTTCAAAAATCAGATTTTTTGACCTATACATACACATATTTATAAATATTTATTTATATATTTAAATATATAAAAAGATATAAATAA